AACTCATGATGTGCAGCTGATACTTAGACTATAAGTACTCATCATACCAAAGATGTGCGTCATAACAAATTGACTGAGATTCTATATCGGATCCGTACATTTTTTCATCCATCTGATTCCTCAATACATCTTCAAAGAAAAAGGAGCATCGTGCATAGTCCAAAATATGCTCGTTCAAATCAGCCTATGCAGATTACAAGTACTATGGACATATACTTCGACATAAAACTATTTCACATCATTTCCCAATTTTCTTCGTCGTTCGTTCCAGGTGTGAAGTTTACTCAGTTGCCATGCGAATGAGCTCTTTCCTCCTTATACCCACGACAGCGATAGTTGCTGGTTGCGGTGCCGTCTCAGCATATAGACGACCGAGACTATTGGGTTCGAAGCTGCCTGATGAAGTCATGTCAGCGAAGGATGCTGTTTCAGCGAATAGTGCACGATTTCTAAGTAGCAAACCTGACAGAGTCAATGTCATTTATGCGCCAGAGAAAGAAGAAAGAATGATGAAAGGCATGGACGACATTCTCAATCTTGTGCGAGACAGCAGCAGCCTAGAAAAGATTGTTCCTCACATACCACCTTCTGAATTAAAGAAAGACTTGGAAACTTTCGGGACATTTTCTATTGGTCCGACCCAATTATCGCGATCGCATGATCAGTACCCTGAACTTGTGACACGAATGAAAGAGAATGTTGCGAAAGCTACAAACCAGCAAGCACCAGGCCAATTTTTGGACTATTGCCACAAAATTCAGCTCCACATCTCAATCAATATCCAGTAAGCCATGCTGTAGACCACACGCCGCAAGTCCCAAGTGGATATTCTCCTCAAAATCAGCACGTTGGCAATCCTAATGGACAAATCTCTGCACAACATCAGCAAATTGGCTCTCCGTATGGACAAGCACAACAGCAGCACATTGACCATCCGTATGGACAAACCTCTGCACATCAGCAGGGGGGCGGAGGCAACTTACATCCTGGAGTGATGCACAACTCAAATGCAGCCAATAAGATGGACCTGGAGAATCAACCCTCGGTTGATGCGATGAAATTCGCGAAGTCTTACTCGTGGACAATTAAAATAGACGACATTGCACAGAAAGCAGCCGCCAAGAACAACCTTGATTTTCTGATTCGACTTCAACAATTCGAAATTTTACGTGAGACTTGGCTAGAAAATGTCTATACATGGGTGCGCCGCGAAAGACCATATGTTCTTCAACAGCAAAATAATCAACTTTGGATTAAACTCAAAACCCAGGTCCAAAAGGCTGAAAGACTTTATGGTGATGATGCCAAATCTGTTCAACATATCGAGCACACTCTCAGAATTGAGATTGACAAGGTTTCTGAACAGTACAATCAGAACTTGAAAAAAGCGTATTATCGAAGGATGACTGTAGCGTATCATCAGAAGTTGAATGAAGAGTACGATCAGAAGTTGAGTGAAGCGCTAAATGAAGAGCACCGTCAGGAGTTGAATGATGAGTTGAATCGGAAGATGAAAGAAGAGTACCATCCGAAGATGAATGAAAAGTTCTATCAGAAGTTGACAGAAGATTACCGTCACTTGATGAATAGTTGGCTCACTGGAGATTTAACCCAGCCCGGCGGATGGTTTCTCAGACAACTTTATTTTCCATGCGTCGTGACGAACACAATCAAAAACGTCAAGTCCGCAATACTTTTTGATAAAATGGCTCAACGCATGGAATTTGTGACTCGGCAGATTCCCACGAGCCATGCAAGTAAATCGTATTCTTCCAAGTTTTTATTAGCCCACATCGACGACAGCTTACTCAACAATCCACCCGATGTTGTGGAGTCGAACGCACTTGATAAAATCAAAAAGATTGATGGCGGACTTGACAATCTTCTGGAGATGACTCTTGCTGATGTTCAACCGTTGGAGATGTTTATGTATCTGTGCTCTATAGGTCATTTTTCCACTACTGATCCCTTGATGCAGACGCTCGAAGTGTACACGAGACTTTATAATCTCGACTTAATCATCAAGGAGCCGAAATCAATTAAATTGGAGGATATAACAAAGCTGACTCCGGCGATACCTCATGGCATGGTGAATAAGTTCGTTCAGAAAGTGGGTAATTTGCTCAGATATGGTGCTGGTGGAAAAGGAAATCGTAGAGTTCAATTGCTGAGAAGAAAGGAGTGGGATGCCATCCAGTTTGGTGGTAAAGAAAAATCGTATCGAACCTGGGTAGCCGATTCAACAATGTCTCCATCGACATTGTATGACACGTATAGAAGACACGATGTAAAGATAGACGATCTAATTGACTTTTACACAGTTGACTACATTCTTAGAGAACTTTTTTCTGTGAAGCCAGAAATACCTCCGGTGATAAAGGAACAGTTAGTACCTAAGTAAAAACAAATAAATGACAATACTAACTTTTGTTCTTGTATCTGCTTCAACATACATGTTGCACGTAATCATTTTCTTTTAATTCTTTCTCATTCGCAAAATGATATTAACAACTTGGTCATCGATTTAGTTTCGTCGCAGTGTTTCGTCATCGTAACGTACATATGATATCACACTTTGCTATATTATCATGGATAGAAATACTATAAATTTAATTTTCAAATTTTGCTAGCTGGGTTAAATTCAAATAAAATACCTCATGCAGCGGAAATTGCAAGTGCACCTCGCAATGAGAAAAATTAATTATCAGAGTCCGTGTTAACGAACGCACAGAAATTGGCTTCACGTAGGCGTCGCAGCGAGAGCGATTTTAGACACAAATAGTTCTGTTTGATCTTAGTAATAGAGTTATAGAATTAACTCTTGCATACATAGTTGGATTTAGTATGTTTTGCCATCTTGATAAAACCTTTTACATTGAATTTTCAAGATATCAGACCAATACGGTACTATAGCAATTGTGTAATTGTCCGATGACATTATTGTACAATTGTTTGAATGGTAGTAAACTATGTAGATGAGGAATTTAAGAAAACTCGCCAACTTAATGAACGGTTATCTGGTGACAGCGATACAAAATTTATTGTTATCGAGGATTGTTATCAACCATGGTGTGGGGGTAAAGTTACGAAAAACTCTGTACGGTGTATATATTCGGATCCTTTGTTTAATCAGTTTGTTTAAATGTTATGAGCGACAGTGGTAAAGAAAGCAGTTTTCAACAGTACACGAAGAAAATGCGGATCGTCAAAAAAGCTTCTGCGTGACTGATACAATATAGCTTAAATTTAACAATTTTGAAAAGAACAGCCAACGCAGCTCGCTCTCAGAATGGCTGTACGACTATCTACCCAGTCTCACAGTCTTGTTGACTAAACGAATCCATCTTGACCCAAACGTCTGTCAGAGTATCGAAGCAGATGGCTAGTGTTTGTGCTACCAAATAGACAAATGAATCGACAATTCATGCCAATATCTTTAAAGTTCTGCAGCGGTGCTGCTGTAACTCTTTTGATTAGAGGAAGCTTGGTTAAGGTTGGTGGCCTTCGTTCTATACTTAGAACCAGTACGAGTTTAGCGGATCGCAATCAGCAGTAACAACCTCAACTCAAGGTTAACTAACTATTCCGTTTAAAGGTAAACTGTATTTCTCGGTTTTATTTGCGGTAAAGCCGCCTATATCTATATCTAAAGGTTCTTCTGTCTATATAGTATCCCTTCATTAGATGCATGACTACTGGCAGTTCAGCCACGTATTGACTTCTTGTTTACGTGTAGTCACACCATCTCGTGTGACCCACACCCTTGACACCAGGGTACGTGAAACCCCGTTACACTCCCCCCACCAAGATCGTGAGCGCTTACTGTTCACATTTAACTGTCGGCTCGAAAAAAGCTCGTAGCTTGGTCTGCGCCTCCCTTGAAGCCTATGACTTACTGTCCGGAGTTGCACCCCGTGCAGGAAACGAAGAAGAGCTCTGCCCGCCGACGCTCTCGGAATCAGCGAGGCTGGTTGTCTTCCATCTTCTCGACACATGGACCAAGCTCTCGGTAACCCGTTACCGCGCAGCGCATTGTCAGCGACAGGATTGCACGACCAAGGACACAGACGCGATACCTACTCCCGACCGCGCACTGCGCCTGCCATTGACGATGGATTACCTCATCGAGGATTTGGAGGAAGTCGACTATGTCTTGGATACTCCTTTCCCAGGATGGGAAGAAGAAGGCGAGGTGCCCCAGTGGCGCGACGTGAGCCCTGCTCGTACCTTGCGGACGCTGTACCTGTTCATCGGGCCCTCGACTACCGAAGGAAATTACGCCATTACCAATAACCTCGACGAGGCACAAAACCAGCAGCTGGATGCTGTCGGCTCTCATGCGCGCCACGACCCGTCCATGAACCTCATGCCGAATACGGCTTTTGCTCGGGAGGTCCAGCTACAGATATGAAGGCGCGATCACCCGATCGTTGGGCGTCAACGAACAAAAAGCTCACCGAGCTCGCTTCTTAGTTCCTCAAGAAATCCCGGTGGATACGTACTGCACTCGAATTCGTGATCAACGAGTAGGCGCTCCTGAACAAGAGATGCGGGCGATTCCTGTGGTGCTCGCCCCTGGTGAAACCTTTGCAGATGACGAAGAGTTCTTAATCGATGGATGCAGCTACACCGTAAACAATCCTCGCTGCACAACTTACAGTTGAGCCGCAGGGATGTGGATGCGCGTGGAAAACGCTATCTTCGATTTGAGTTTTTCAAACCCAATGGCGTCGCTGACTTCCTTCGGATTGTCGCCCCGCGACGTATCGGTTAAATCACCACGCTCCCGCGAGCGCTGTGGATTCTAACACGGGTGAGAATGCGGCCGCAGTAGCTCAGGGTAATAGCTTGAAATCAGCCCATGGCCCTTCAGCTTCCCTGGCTATTACTGAGAAGCGCGGTGCGTACGACGACGTGGACGTCATGGTCTCTTTGATTATAAGCGTCCACGACGTCTGGACAGTCTTGCCGAAGTGGCACTTCAAACTCACACGGGATCTCGGAATCAAGGTATCCCCGACACTTCCCACGATACTGGGTTGGACCCTGGCAACGCAATTTATCGGGGTGACACCTACCCTTGTACGAAAGGGCGGGTCACATAAGAAGGTGTGATCGTACGTAGGTGTAACTTACACAAGTTGGTGTTAAATAAGGGGATATATTTCAATTGGTAGAAAATATGCTTTGCAAATCACACAATGGTGTGGCTACACCGTAACACGTAGCCAATACATGACAGGACAGACAGTAGTAATCAATATAAATTTGGCTTTACTAATTACTCTAGAATACTTACGTTTTTAGACAAAGGCAGCTCCGCCGCAAGTAACACAATTTGAATTCAGTTTCAATTTTGAATGGGAGAGCGCCTTCACCTTGGCAACGGTTCTAAGTCCTCTTGGAGGTAGCATATTGCGATCCGCTACGCTCGTACTGGTTCTTGTAAAGAATGTAAGGTCGGTGACCTTAGCTTAGCTTCCTTTAAGCAAGAGCAACGTCAACCCTGCTACACTTGGTAGCACTCGTCGTCAATCTCTGCTTGAGGTGTACGACTGATCATCTGTGAGGATGGAAAATTTCTCCCATTTGCCCCAGGGCATTCGGGACGGTCTTAATCTGCCGATGTCCCTGCTGGGCTCTGAGGGAGTGGGGCACCAAACGCGCGCTTAGAGGTGTTTTCGAGCTATGAAACTCTTTGCTACAGCGCAAACGGCAAAAGCTGTCGGTGTCGACTACTTCCATGACGCCACAGAAGACAAATGATGAATTTTCCCGGCCCAGGCTGCTCATGGTGAGCGTAAAGACCCTTGAGGGTGAGGGTGGATAGAATCTTCTGCTTTGGGTAAGATAGGCCAAGATGGCTATGACATCTGCCATACTTCAAAACAAGCAACAGCGTGTGGCTCTAGCTATCCTCAAGGTCGAGGGCCGAGCAAGAGAATGGGCACTAACGTACGATGCTTTGACTGAAGCTGCGTTCCCCTCCTGGAAGGAGCAGAAGAGTCAGATTTGTGAGTGTTCTCGTCGCCTAACCAGGTATGTAGTGGCGGTCGCGTTTCATTGTCGCCCGACAGGGCAACGTGTTGGTGGACTCTGTCCAAGAGTCAAGAAATCTCATTGCCGGGATCCTCTCCCCGATGCGGTCGCAGTGACCGTCTATATGGAGGGCCTGAGTACTGGTGTGGCCAGAATGGGGTTCTTCCGTGTTTAACCGGCTCCCTTTGACGAAGCGGTGGATGTGGCACTGAATGCCGAATTCAACTATAAGTCAGCACGACTTGGTTGGAATGCACATCATCAGAACTTGTCGAGCGGGCCTGAGCCTATTGATCTCAGCTATGCTAAGAAAGAGGGAGGAGATCTCCGAGCTGCCGAGCAGGGTGTAAACGCCCGACTGTGTTTTGTTTGTGGGGACGCCCGTCACCTTCGAACGGGTTGTCCCTTGTGCAAGGCGCAAAAAGATCGTCAAACCGACGTTCCGCTTCTAAGTAGTCTGGTTTGACGCGGGGAAACAACAATGCCCGTAGGCGCGGGGCGCCCTACTGGGGGAACACCGATTTCTATTGAGCCTCAAAGAGGTAAAGGGTAGCAGGGCCCAGCCCCGAAGTACTGCGTGCTCTTGAACACAGAACGTGTATGCAAGCCGTGTTTGCAGGTCGTAAAATTGAACCAAGTTCATCATGTAGACAAGTCTGACGTACCGGACTCATGTATTTGCATGCGATGCATACCCAAGATGCCTCCTCGCTAAGATCCTTGACGGTACAATCTCAGGCCAGGTATGGCCTCATGTCTGGGCGAAATAATCGGCATGCCTTGCCCAGTAACGCTCTAGGCTGTCGACCTTGGTTGCGAGCTTGATCATTCACTCCACGGAAATTTCAAGATTCAGCCCTCATTTTGTGCGCGAGAAGGTTGGCTGGAGCCACATCCGTAGCTGCGTCGTCATTTGTTTGGCTAAAAATCTGTTGACTGAACAGTTGGGCACGCAAAGGAAAAGGTGAAGGCAAAAATTATCTTAGTGGGTTCATTCATGCATACTGAGCGTAAGACACAGTTTCACAAAGGCGCCTATACCGACTGGTTCTTGCAGCGGATCTGTCATTGCTCTTTGCTTAGAGGAAGCTAAGCTAAGGTCACCGACCTTAAGTTTTTTTCAAGAACCAATACTAGTATAGCGGATCGCGATCCGCTACTTCTAAGTACCGAAAACCTTATCCAAGGTAAACAAACCCGTCTGTAAGATCGGAACTTAATTGTTTTAGTTGCGGCAGAGCCGCCAATATCATAAACACTAGGTTCTCCTAATCAATATAGTAATACCTAATCAATATAGCAAAACCTTATTTATATAGTAATGTGCATTACTACTGGCAATCCTGTCATGTGTTCTTTTACGGCTTAGCCACACAACTGTGTGATTACACCAGTTTGTGTAATCTACACCTACGTACGATAACATCATTTTGTGCAACCCGCCATTTGATAGAATGGCTAGTGTAATTCCCTTACGCCCCCACTAAAATTGTAAATTTCCCCTGATTCATTTTTAACGATGGCCTCATACGAAGCTCGCGTGTCTGAAACACCTTAACGTTATTTAAAAACAACTTTAAACGTCTCCGCTCTATTAACCATGTGTCTACGACACGCGAACACTAAGCTGGTAGCGAGGGCGTCCGCGAGCATAGCCCTTCTTCTTCTGCACAGAAAGCATATCCGGACTGTACGTCCGCAACTCCACGGGAAGCACAATCTAACCCCCTCCGCAACTGAGCGCAACAAACAGCGCTCACCCCGGCGGACAATTCCTGTGGTGCTCGCCCCTTGTGAAACAGCTGCAGATGATGATAAGATCGGTGAGCGATGGGTGCAGCGGAACTGGAAACTTTCTACACTGTCCAACGTACAGCAAAGTCACAAGAAAGTTAACGTGCGCTTTGAGCGCCATCTTAATTTGCTAGCCGCAACGTTTGACGCCAAATTTCTACATTGGAACAATTCGAAACGCTCCCGCAAGCTCTGTGGTCTCTCACACGGGTGAGTCTACGACCACAGTAGCTCAGGACCATAGCTGGAGCTTAGTTCAGGGTTCTCCGGCCTCTCGGGCTACTGCCGAGAAGCGCGGGGCGCAAGACGACGCAGCGTCATGATCCTGCTGAACATAAGCGTCTACGAAGTCTGGGCGTCTTGCCAAAGTGGGACCTAAAACTTCCACATAGTCTCGGAATTTTAAATATCTCCACCACTTCACAAGATATTGGGCTCGACATCGTCGACGCACAACCCACAAGGCGTTCCGCGTGGTATTCAATGCCGCCATTCTCATCGAGAAGAGTTGGCGACGGACGATAACGATTTGGTCGATCGCCGTCCGGTGACTCGCGATGAACTTTGAGTGTTGGAGGACAAACTTTGTCGTCATTGGCATCTCTCCGAGGTCGCCAACCGCTGAATGGAAGACCTCTAGTGTCTGGAGCACTTTGTGCACCGAATGCCTCAGATTATCGTGCTTTGTCAGACCGGCTCATTAGCCGTCGAACAGGTGAATACGTCATTTCGTGCGACGGTGAGCGCTTTGCGCCTTTGGAAACGGAATTTGTTGCACTCCGTAGTTGCTAGTACAACTTCTGGGTAACCGAGCGTCTTTGAGCGCCGCCCCGGCACCATCGCTTCCGCGATCACTTCCGCCGGACCCAGCCAAGAAGTACATGTTACGATAAGCTGTACCTGTTACGATACGAAGTGACTTTAACGATACAAAGTACCCGTCACGATCGTGTAATATGCAGCCCCTGCTATTGAATACACACTTGAGACCAACACGCCAACTACGCTAGTACTCGTCAAGTATGCTAGCCCGACCTTCAGTCACGCTTTGATGAACATCTGTGACATCACGCGATCATATCCGCATCAACAAGCAAACGATCTGGCTATATGTCCACTGATGATGTCTCGTGACGATGAGCAATCAAACATGTTGGAGAAGACGTCGTCAATGTTTTGTCTTAAAAACGGGAGGAAACGCGGCGATGTCAAAAGCACTAGCTCGTCTGATACCGGAACAGGAACCGCCGGTAACGTCCCACTAGATATTTCAAGGGCAAGTCGAGATAGTTCGCACTTGCTGTCGGTAACAACGCTCTGTCATTGGACGCCAAAAGCTGGATCCGGTAGAATGACGCCGACCGATATTTTCAATGGCCACACGCTGCTGACGAACCCAGTGGATAGTTTGTCGATGTTTTGATATATCGCCGGATGGTCGGGCGTCGCCAAAAAATATCGCTGATTATAGGAGCAATCGCTACCGATTGAGGTGGATCTCAACGATGTCTACTACGCACCAGCACTGGCACATGATCCTAATCTTTTTAAAACAGCTGATTGCGAAAGAATGCTGCCTCATCCAGCTTCATGGCGACTTGGCGTTGATAAAGAGCAGCGAAGTAATGTTCTCTGCTGGGTCCATGTAGAACGAGCTTGTGCACACATTGACCATCAGACGCAGGTCATTATCAAGCGCATGGCAAACGACACCGTATTCATGATCAGAATTTCGAACAGAAAGTGAATGTAATGTATGGTTTGTGCTGAGAGCAATCAACCTTGAGTAAAGCAGCCAGTCTGGATCACCGGGGATCACGTCCCGATCTGTCAAGGCGAACGAATCATTTGTAACGACTTGAGCGTTCCGATGACGCCGCTTGATCATCAATGTGTTCGTTTCATTGTTAACTTTGTATACCGCAAGTCTAATTACTGGAGGTGTTAATGACAAAAAGAAGAACCTTACCGAAAAGGATTTGTCGATTTCGAGAACTAGTTTGGCTGACATGTACGCGTAATCCGCCCGGACGGCAGTGGATGTTTTTTTCAGAAAACAGAACGTCCTGTCAAAATTCTGATGGCTGAACTCGGTTTAGCGGACCGAATGCGCCTCACAGTTCCCAACACGGCTTTGTACAGGAAAGCCGTTGAGTTTCTGGGGTGACGCGGCTGAGTACGTCACGTACCGGATCTCATCTCGAACCAATGAGGATATGCATTTCGGGTTGGATATGCGGACTAAGAACGCGAAATGATCGACGAAGAATCTCCGGTTAAAGATAAGTTTTCGAAATCATTTCCAGACATGACGAAGAAGAGAACATCGATAAAAGTGACAATTATTTTACCACCAGTGGGGTGGGATCCGAAAAGCACGTGCCCGAACGTCATGCTCGCTGTATATTGCACGACACGTCGGACATATGCGTTAATAAGTGCTGACTATAATCTAGCTAGGCGTACATTTCGGTGCCTTGCCTTAGTGGCACCGATAGCACAAGCTTTGAGTATCATGTGATGGCAAGGCCGATGAATTACCGCTATGGCTGCGCTCATACCGACGTCGACTTTGCAGCTAGTGACCGCAACAATGGTCCATCAAACAATGTGAAGCAAAGCTCTTTGGCACTTTCGCCTAACGAAGCGGAATGCGTCGCTGCGACGGTGGACTCTTAAGATCTACTCGAGCTGAAGGGTCTACTGGGTGAGCTGGACAGCCACCAAGTTGTCTATGAACATGCTGATGGTCAAACGAGCGGCTATCATGCAAGTGCAGAGCGAAACAAGCTCGGCCAAGGTCAAACATGTGAACGTCAAGCTCAAGCTCATTCATGACACACATCGTAGTGCCAAAGTATGTCGCTAGCGACTTAATTCTTGTAAACCAGCTGACGAATTCGCTGCCGGCACCACGGATTAAAGAATTTCTAGAGAAGAAAAAGATCGGAATCATCGGCATCGAGTGATTTAGGAACCTGGAGGCTCTAGAGAGGTGTGTTGAACATTAATGGTAAAGCTAGTATACGTGCAGGTGACCGAAAGCCAGAAATCTATGGACCTTTGTGGGATGCGCTGAGTTGACAATGACTAGGACTTGCTATTGAATGAAGCATAGAGATTGGGACCAATCGGACCAGGCATAAATACGCGCCTTTGTGAAACCGTGTGGCTTTGCGATTAACGTTTAGCATGTAGATCCAGCTAAACTACTTTCACTTTCGCACACAAGTGGTCGGTCAGCAAAGTCCTTTCAGTAGACGCTTTGTCGATCGTGAGACACCGATGGAATAGTCAAAACGAAGTAGTGGATGCGGCCAAGAGGTATAAAGGTCCGTTTAAGCAGAATGCACCTTTATTTGTTCAGTATCTGGCGACAGAACTGTGATCTGAAAATAATTCTAGTCGCTATGGATTTTCTAAAAAAGGTTATCTGGATTCTTATTAGACCATAAATTTTTCGTATCCCTGAGGTGATTTCGAAGTGTACGCTTCTCATTACGTGACCATTGGATATTGTTGCCTTCCGACCCGCTCAGCAAGAGCCAAGTGCTGTGTTGAGATGGGACATAGAAGCGAGACAATGCAATGCGGCAATTGAAATCTACCAGACTATGTCAAAACACTTTTGCAGATGGCATATTGCCCTCGCGTAAGATCCTTTCGTGTGCTCACAGCAAAGTGATATTCAAATATGGGAAATCGATTACCATTATTTGGCAAAAACAATTCTATCGCTCCCCATGACTGAGTTTTATGGACGAGGCTAAAGACCTGCTTTAAGTATCTGTGCGTCAAAATTTGCAATGAATATTGCTCGACATTATTGAAATCAAGCCAATGTCATTGATATTGAGCTGATGAAACGAGAGGTGTATCAGCAATTTTTATACTAGCGAAATGGTTATGGCCGTAAATTAATTTGCTCGCCATTACGATTAACAATCGGTAGCTTGAGACGACGTAATGATTTTACTACATCACTTACAAGACATACGCGATAGAAGTTGTAGAAATGTACTACACAAAAGTATGACCTGCATACCAAACATAGATACTGACATTAGAAAGGTTGCCATTTGCGTAGAGCTCGCGTAAACAATCCAACAACACGCAGGACTTCATTTTCTGCCAAGCGTGTATTTACAGACCGACCAACAAGATAATTTAATGTTGACCCCGCATAAGGCCAAAAACATAGGTGCATGCATGAATATGAGATGTAATGGCCTATAAGTACGTGCCAAGTACGTCACACCTGATTGAGTAACTTATCAGTCGCTTGCGTTCTTTGGGGAACGCATCGATAGTGCAGAGTATTCGGGGTAACTTGTAGCTTCAAGCACTTTAGCAAGCGTATGGAATTCGAGCAAAATCCGTGTTGCTGACGACATGGATCGAACTGCGGATGATTAGACACCGCATTGTTGGCATCAGACGTACGAATCTTCAGTCTTAGAAATTGCTACTATCACATTCGATACTCTGGCTATCTGTCGCTTGCCATTATCACAGCAATCTCAATGGTAGATAATGGTGCTCAGACCAGAACGCCAGGAAAACATCTGAACAACGTCTTCAG